CTCTGAAGGTGGTAGGAAGGTGGGTAATCACCCAAGGGCTGCACAGTTCAATCTGCCAGCAGCAGTCAGCCCCAGATGCACAGCTCTGGGTTATAGGGATCCACCAGTTTTGCCCCATTTATCATGTAAATCCAGCATTGCTGCCTGATTACTCCAAACAGCACTGGCAATAAACAGTAATCTGTGTCACATTGCTTTTTAAGCTTTTTTTTTTTTTTTTTCCTTTTTTTTCTTCAAATGAGTATTGTTAGGTTAAATCTTCCTATCCTATTTCTGTGGCACCGCCATAGTCATCTATGAAAGATCCTAAGTGGACTGCCAGTTTCAATCTTCAGCAATTTCCTCAGGCTGATCTCAAATGTGTTGCAGATCAGATACAACATAATGCTGATAAGCAGATCTGACCCCATAATGCACACATATTTTCAGTTATACTTGTTTCAATAATGTCATGAAAATTACTCTTTGTGATTCCAGAATTGAAAATGAAGTCTTTTGGTATTTAAGAAGACAAAAGCACTGAAATTTTTTAATCAAAGACATGTGAAGGAGGGGAAAGGAGGTTTTATGGGATTTTTTCATAGGAAAAAAATGCAGTCAGCTTTACTAATAATAATACCTCTGCACACATGTGATCCTTTTTCAGGAACCAGCACTGAGGGGAGAATGGAATAAGAGAGTAGGAGCATAACCAGACCTCCCTGGCCTTAGAGGGAAGGTTTCCACATGACGGCAGGTTTGCAATGCCTGGATAAATCTTGCTATTACTTGGAGCACCAGCTGCCTTCTCCTGAGTACATGGGCAGCCAAAGACGAGGCAATGTTACCTCTCTTAGCCGAAGTTCTGCTAGAGGAGCCTGGCAGAGAATTACAGAGGTTGAGTTGTGCTGTTTGTTCACGATCTATTCAGCAGCCTCCTGACAGCCCTGAGCTGGCCATCCATGCCACCCATGACTGGGTTTGCAGTGGCCATGGGTCTGTTTCCATTCAAATCTCAAGTAGAGACACTTTCAAGTACTGGTGGGTGTTGTCCATTGTGCTCTGTTTGGCATCCCCCTGTGGTGCCCTTCCTACCTCCGTCCTGAGCCATCAGCCCACACCCTCTTTTCCTGGCATTGCCCCCATAATCAGCAGTTTTTCTCTGCCTCAGTTTCCCTGCAGAAAGTCTTGATGGAAAGTGCCAGTGGACCTCCTGTAGCATATGGGACAGAGATACACATGACAAGATTTATGTAAAGGGTTGGCTCATGCAATGGGAGAATTTATGGTATAAAGGAGAGAGTCTGTGCAACCCCACGAGTGTGTGGAAGGAGTGGATCTCACCTGCAGCACACTGCCCCAGTCCCCCTCCGGCTCAAAGAGATGACACCCTGCATGTGACTCTCTAACCAATTAGTCATGTAGGGTGCCCTGGGGTGGCTGATGACCTGATTACAGGATTCATTAGCTTGGTTTAGCGGGCTGAGAACAGGGTGTGGTGCTGCAATGCTCTGGATGCAGGACAGCGTGAGACAAGAAGCCCATAATCTAGGATTATCTTGGAGCCCGGGATATGTGATTTGATCTTTTTGTCCGAAGGTGGGAAAGACTTGAGGACCACCAACATGTGAGCACTTTTACAGTATTTGCTGACAAAACGATGTGCATAGCCTGATTTTTACGTGTGTTGTGCATGGACACAGACATTTACTAACATACCACAGCTGCCTTTTTAGACTGACAATTACTGGTCTGTGGCTCTATATGTCTTCCACAGGATCAGTATATTTAGAAATGAGGCATTCCCAGAACTTCTTTTCCTTTTAGTAAATTTTGGTGAAAATATGCGTTGGTAGGGAGGCCTGCAGAGGTGGTGCCTGTAAAAAGAAATACTTGTTATACTGCCAGGGCTTAGCAGGGTCTGCATTTCTGTTGCATGCATGCATTTGCGTATGCATGTGAAATGCGATCACAATATATTTTCAAGATAAGAAACCAAGCCACTGATGTCCAAATGATTAGCTTTAGTTAATAAGTGTCTACACGACAAACAGCAAAGTCTGATGAAAAGGACTGTTATACATGAAAAAATCAAAGTAAACTGTAAGTATACATGTAGGATAAGAATGACAAGGTGCCGAAATGAACTGTCATACTTTCTGCTTCATCTTCCCAATTAAAATTAGGCAGCTTGTGTGCCAGGTGATCAGACCCAGCAGAGCTGGCATTTCAATCATACTGCCTGGAAACAGTGATGGGTCGAGCTGGGACCGCTTCTGGTTGTTCACACTGACCTGGCATCTTGGCCTTAAAACCTTCTTTCCAATTACTGTGAATGCTGCTAAATTTGAGGACACTGGGCTGCAATTTTCCATGCTGTTTCCATGCCTTAAATGAGTCCGAACCTTGAGGTTTGAATCTTAAGACTTTTTGTTTGTTTATCTTGTGGTTTTAGGTTCCTCTGATTTTCTCGTAGAAATGTTCAGCCAAAACTATTCTCAAAGGCCTCAAAAAGGGAAGGAAGGAAGGAAAGGAACAGAAAGAGAACAGGGAGGGATAGGCCTGCCACACACAGAAAGGGAAGGGTCCATCAAAAACAGAATACGAGGAAAGATCACTGCAGTGGATGGAGTACAAGGCTTGCTGCAAGAGGAGGCTGAGAAGAAAAATGCGGTGTGGTGAGGCAGAGAAGGAGGAGCTCCTCCATCCTTTGGCTCTGCCAGAGGCACAGGGAAGATAAAGCCCATGAAGTATAGAAATGACCTGTCTGATTTCTTTTAAACAGATCGATATCCAGTTGCAACATTCCCTTACAGCAAAGGTTGCATTAATATTAGGAAATAAAGCTAACCTACTTAATACTGGAGGCAAAAGGATGTGTGTCCAGGGCCTGCAGTGGAAAGGAGAATGTGGGAATAATAAAATTTCTGTTGACTGCATTAGCATGGGTGTGTAAGATGATCTTGAGAAAGTCATCTGCAAGAAATAATAATAATAAAAAAAATGTACTTCAGTACCTCACAGGAGGTCTGTGAGGCCTTATGGTTACCAGTTTCAGTTACTACCATGTTAAACTCCCCAGGAAAGTTTAAAGCAACATTTCTCACATTTGTTCTCTAGCTCTTTTTTTTGCTTTGAAATCTTTCTGATCCCCTGGCCCTCACACTGCAGCTGCTGTAGGATGCGCTGCGGTCTGCTGGTATCTCTGAAGAAGATCTAAAAAGCTGAGTTGCACTCACTGAAACCCTCACATGGTGCCTTTGCCACAGAGCACCCAGTTCTGACCCAGAAGATCTTATCAGCATGTGCAAACTGCTGCTTATTCTTCAGGAACAAAACCTTCCACAGCCCAGAGGTCCAGGCTGAGACAATGAACATCTCTGGAGCATCTTTTGTTGGACCTGTGTGGTTTCTGACAGTGGCTCTTCACAAGCCCCCTGTCCCCTGGCTGTAAGGGGATCTAGCAAGCAGCTCTACCATGCAGGTGAGAAGGACACAAAGAGGCAGGCTGGGCTACTTGGGTTTTCTAAGGGTGTTCCCTAACATCCCTGGTTGCCCAGCATGCCCTGTCCCCCCAGAGAATAATCTGTGTTAGGTCACAGGTTCCTTATCTTAGCACATGAAAGTTTTCATCTGGGGACACCCTCAGCCATCCTCAGGATGAAATCTCCATTCAGACCTGGGGTTATGACACCAGTGGTGCAAAGAAACTTCTCACAGAGCCTCTGCATGGGAGTGGCTTTGACTTTCCTTCCTCAGAAGGCTGCTGTATTTAAGGCCTTTCTGGGATGGTTCCCTGTTTTTTACCTCCCTCATCAGCGCAGGACCCAACCTTTCCTTCAAACGGCATCCCTCGTGATGAGATTTCCAGCTGAAAGTGGGATTCAGTTCCTTTGTCGGAATTGGAAACAAAACATCCTTCGTTGCACCTTATGGGTTCTTTCAACATATGCATCTTGGGTTACATGTTTATGTTGCTGGACATGTGTGTCTGTCACCACAGCAGGGGAGAAGAGAATTTCCACAGATGTAAAGTATGGTGCTCTCTTTTATCCTGATCTTATTGTTAAACAGATGAGCTGCCTTTAAAAGTACTACAACATTTATTTGTGCCACTGAAAGGGGTTCTTTTCACTCTTCTCTCAGTTTACTCTTTAAGTAGAAACTTTTTAATGGGTGCTGATAATTAAGCAAAATAACCTTAATTTCAGTTAGTAAAATTGCTTTGTGTATATGTGGGTGTGTGAAAATAATACAGTATCTTATTTCAGACCTCACGGGGTTTCAGCAATTATTCCTCTAACAGAAAATCACAAAAATCTCTGGCCCTACAGCGTCTGATTCTTGGGAACCAGAGAAAGGGGAAATTAAACATCCATCTCTGGGTTTAATGGCTCACAAATATGTCCGTAGATAACTGCCGTTCTGTGCAGAATTCCCCCCTGCTGAAGTACAGAACCCCAAAATCTCACCTTGCCCGGACAGGATAAAGCCAGATCCCACAGTCCCCACATGCTTGCAGCAGCCTGCATGGGAACATCACACGTGGGGAGGAGAGTGGGCTGTGTGCCTGGGCAGACGCTTCCAGGTGCAAAGCGGCACGTCCCCAGGGAGGAAAGCCTCACCCACTTCTGACTATGCCTTTCTTGGCTGCTGCCAGATCATCCCGCCCTTCTTCAGCTCCCAGTCACTTTTTTTCTTTTTCTCTTTGATCAAGGATATGCAAATGCTACTCTGAGTCAGGGTTGCTGCAAGAGTTTCATCCCTTCAGTAACGGCGCTGAAGGAGTGTGTGTATTTCTGCTTTACGTGATTGCCTGCACGTCCCTTGGCAGACAGTGAGCATGTCTCCCAAACCATGGCTCATATGTCTAATCACTTCCACTCCAAAATCTTGAGGCTGTGTTAGGGACAATATAATAACCAGTTTCTAGCAGGCTGTGTTCTCAGGCAACTGGGAAACGATCCAACCAAAAAGTACAGTGAATCTGCCATCTGACATCTAATACTTCTGACTTTCAGGTCCACAAGCAACTTCCTACAGTCTCATGGAGATGCAAGAGATTCAGAGAGATCCTACCTTCTCAGGCACTCCTGCACTTGGCTTGGAAGGGGATCCAGCCACACAGACTTGGAGGGAGTAGTCCCTGCAGGGTTGGTTAGGTGCTAGGAAAGAGGATCTGCCCACTTTTGGAGATGGAGAGCCTGTGACTGACCTGCAGTTGCCAACCAGACCACCATCATTTGAAATTCAGTCTGCTGCCAGCAGATAACCTTGTATTCAGGCTGACAGAGATTTCAGACTCTTCTCATCCTGAATTGGTATCTGTTCCTGTTTGCACATAGCCCCATAATGGGATCTGGTCCTGATTAAGGCCAGTTGTAAATAACGTGTAAATATCAGCAGAGAGCTTTTTAGAAGAGCTAATAAAAAGAACCAGCAGCATGCAGACAACATGGACACAGGCACAGAGGCTGGTCCCACAACCCAGTCCTTTACACAGCTGGAAGGTCACAAACCAGACAGTGAAGAGGACTAAAGTGAACTGAAAGAGAATCTTTCCTTCCTTCCCCCTTCCCCATTTTCTGCTTTTGCTGATTGCAGCAGAAGCCAAAAGCAAACAGTTATCCAAATCTGGCACATTGCATTCAGAAAGGAGTTTATCTGAGCAGGTAATGCAGTACCAAGCCCAGAAAACCACTCTCACATTTCACCTCTCCCCAGAATTTCAAAATACCTATTCACCTCCAGGCAGTAGCAGCAGGGAGGGTGGCATGGGTATGGCCAAGTATGTGCTGCGATGTGATTTGGGACCTTTAGAGCCACCCAAAGCTGAGTGTTTCTGAAGTGAGGGTGTGGGGCAGCAACTTTTCTGTACAGTCACCATAATAAAGCTTCCTCTTGTTCTCCACCACACCAATTATTGCTGTGTTGCACAGTGTGCTCTAGGCTGCACTTCTCTACTAACCTTAAAAAAGCTTATTGAATCCATGTGATAGGAGGCCTTAGATTAATATATTTTCACATAAATAGCATTTTGGCTATTTTATAATATTGTAAAGTGGTTTAGTGTTAAAGGTTTCTTTCTTGTTTATCTATTTTCTTGTTTCCTTCATTTGAAAATTCTTCCCTGCTTAGGAGCAAGATGTTGTAACTTTTTTTTTTGGAACTAGGAGAAACAGTCACAGCAGAATTGAGCTCTGTTGCTAGTGAGGGGATAGAGGAAGAAAGATTGGGAGTGCAGAATATTTTTCATTTGATTAGGTCACGTATTACATTGGCTTGTAATACCCACTTGCAGTCAGAATTGGCCAGTTCATTGGCACCTGAGTTGACTAGACTGCATCCACAGCTGTTAACCAGCACTTCACCTTGGCAGAGGGAAGAAGAGACAGGAATGGGAAAGTCTTGTTGGAATAAACCTGATGAATAAGCAAAAGTTTGTTTAAAAAATCAGTGGGAGACGTCTGTTATTCACCAGGTAGCTCAACACACAACTCAAAGACTTGGGTGGTGCAATAGCAGGTCAGAAGGGCTACTTGCTCCAACTTCTCTTAAATGGAAGCAAATAGAGCTACATCTACATAGTGGTCTTGCTGTTGGCACCCACTGCAGGCAGAGGCTGACAGGGTAGAACAAAGGTGGGTTTAGAGAGGAAAGCATGGATTGTGTGCTGGATCTGGTCACCAAGCAAGAAGATTCAAAATACAAAGGAAGAAAGAGAAAAAGTCAGGACTAATTCACTATTCATCTTGCAGTAGGGAAGAAAAGAAAAGGAAAAAAAAAAATAAAGAGGTGGAATAAATCCAAAGATTCTATAAAAGATACTTGAATTTGCTGGTGTTCTGAATTGGGTAGGGAATATTATCTGTGGAAGTCATTTTGCTTAAGGCATTGTTGGATGTCACAGGCAATGAGGTTTCTTGTATACAATTTTTTAAAGCATTCCTCACAGACTGAAGTTGGGATGCCTGTGAGATGCGGAAGAGAGTGAGAGTAAACTCAGTCAGGATTACAAGGACTTTTTGCTAAAAGCAGAATCAATATTCATCCACAGCAACACATACAGATGTGGATCTGTGCATGCCTCCCTTGAACACCCCACCTTGGGTGGCCCTGCTTTGCTGTTCTGGCACAGATGTGTGTTATTGAACAGATGTCAGCTTGTAAGCTCCCCTAAGCAGCTCCATTTTCCAATCAGAATTGTAACTGGAATTATGTACAGCAGATAATTACAGCGTTTATAAAAGGGGAGTCTAAAAAACTGGCCTCGCAGCTCAGCGAATTGAGGTCACCCATCAAGCTGCTGCCCTCCCCTCCTGCTTTTTTTCCAAAAAGCCAGATGACTTTATTAGAATCAGCCGCTGAATAGATACCATTGATACAAGCCAGGAAAGACAGCTAGGATACTCCTTTGTCACTAACTTACTGTTTGACCAGAGAACAAACCAATGCTTGCTGTATCGTCAAACAGGTAACGGTCTCTTGTGCAATTATAACAAATTATTATAATAGTTATTATAATAATTTATCGATATTTGTCCCTTAAGCCAGCTCCTTCATCATGTTTATCACTGTCAGCTCTGTGACTGTCTTGTTGAGATCATAAGCATTTTGGGAGGGAATGTCTGTGTTGTATGCAGCACTGGTCACCTTACTCATGTCTAATGAGCCTGGTAATTATATTGCATCTCTGAAGTCATCTATTAGTAACAGGAGAAAAAGTTGTAGTGTCTTGATCACTATATAATTACTGTAAGGAATCACAATATTATTTTCCCTGTCCTTGCTGTCAAGACTTGTACAAACATGTGAATACATTGGGACTGGATTCTCTATACAGATGTCTAATGAGATGTTGGCAATTAGTTTAGGCCTCAGTTTGTTACATACAATGACCTTGCCTGTCAGCAGGTGTAAACCAACATAAAATAGCTGTTGAAAAGCAGACCCATGATTAAAGACAGCTATATCTAAAGCCAAGAAATAATCTTTGGATATAGCATGCCTGGATAAAAAAATGCTTTTTGGATTTAGTCTTCAGTATACAATACTAATATAATTATAACTTCAGAAAAAAAGAAAGAATAAAACTTGTTAAATAAACATCTCTGGGACAGCGAGAACAGAACTTTTAAATAAAACAAAATAAATCTTTGAGCCAAACAAAAATCTTTTAAAAGGCAATCCGCAGTACTTGTCTTCAGTTTTAAATTTTCTTCATAGCTTCTTTTTTCTTCCATGCTCAAATCATGATAGGGAGGTAACTGTCTAATACCAATATCAGAGCATGGCAGATAGAGGAGATATTACTTTGTACATATGTTTGTGGTTTGGCTAAGGTCCACTGTTTTTGTAAGAGTTTCAGCTCTATGCATTTTGGTATGTACCCTTGATTGCAAATGGTCTGTAGATGCAAAAGCATGTACACAAAATTTTGTGTTAATATCTAAATGGGGCACCGCAAACGCTAAAGGGCCAAAAGACTAAAATGTGCAAATAGTCTCAGCTACCCAAAGCGTCTGCAATGGCAGAAATTATGTTCACACGCACAAAGTTCACTGCTATAACCAGATCTGTGCCAATGTAGAATGCCAGCAATGCTTCACATTCAAGAAACAGATTTGTCTGTTGCAGACTACAGAGTGCATATCATACATTAACATGTTTATGTGCTTACGAACTTGTGTATATAATCTATACACATGCACACATAGCATATATACAGTCTTAAGTAACAAATATGCATATTTTGAAAGCTGTTGTCTCCATTGTTTTGGTAAGTTTTCAATTTCTCTAGACTTTAATTTCATAGCAAATCATTTTGACACATTTAACCTTATAAGCAGTCAGACCAATGAAGTTAAAACAGCTGATTTTTGTTATTCTCTTTAAACAAGCTAGTAAAAGATGATGCCGGTAAAAAGGATAAAGGTTATTCCAAAATATGAAACTTGGAAAGCCAGTGGTTTTGGGTGAGTTGTGAAAGCAGGATGCACCCAGCAGACACACACTTGCAAATGAGCAGGGCTTCGTCGTAGCAGGTCTCTGCAAATTTTTGTGTGTCCATGGAGAGTTCGAGTTGATACTGTGGAGTTCTGTTTATTCCACTGAAAGGCAGACCTAAGGGATAAATGTCCTTAAAGTCCTTGTGAAATGCTCTAAGATCTATAGGTGATAGGAGGCGTATTTTCCACCTGAGGTCAGAGGGAACTAGGACCAGGATTTCACCCATGTCTGCTGCTGTCACTATGGGCAGCGAGTGGCTGTGTACCTGCCCTGGATCCAACATGAGGCAGGATGGCTGCCCTGCACAGAGCTGGTTTCTTCCCTGCAGCGTCCTGGGAAGATGAAACCAGGCCCATCAGCTGCATTGTCACAGCCCAGAGACACAGGCCATGCAAATACCCTGCTGATGGAAATGTGGAGGGTGAGGGTGCAAGGGGAAAGATGAGTGATTTGGCAGAAGTTTGGAAAAGAGACAGGTGGGAATTACACAGCAGAGTCAGAGCAGAGCCCAGTTTTTAGTGGAAGAGGAAGGGAGGCCTATCTCCTAACACCACCTTAGTGCTGCCCAAAGGCTGTGTATTACTTGTTAAGACACAAAACAACTTTGGGGAAGGGAGCAGGGAGCTCAGTTCTCCTGCTTGAAACAGAAGAGAAACCAGTCCCTCCCCTCCGTGCCCTTCTGCACCCACACGGACTGCCTGCCAAGCGACCTTCTGGAGGTGTAGGCTTACTCCCACTTCCCAAACCTGCGAGGCTGCTGAGGCACTGGGAATTGAAACCCCATTCTGTGCCCCGCTGTGTTTTTCTCCCCAGGGGGTGGTTTGGCTTGGTGTGACATAACAGAAAACCCCTCGGATGCATACGACTCTGCAAGCCTGCTCTGTGAGGCGAGGAGGCTCAACAGCAAGCAAGACACAAGAAATAAAAGAGGAGGCAGTGCCAGGCTGGCCATCCACAGACAGTGAAAGAGCCCTGGCCTCAGCTGACAGCTTTGAAAAGTGTCAAAGCTTCCTTTTACCACCCCAAAGAGCCCTGAGAAGTACAGCCCCAGGGCTGGGGGATTTGTTGCCCTCCACAACAAGTCACCTCGGACACAATAAAGGCAGCCTCCTCTCCATAGCAGCCAAGGCGATTGAGAAGGGTGAAGGAAGCTCTTAAACATTTGTTTTCTGGATTTTGCCAGCCAGATCTCTCAGGAGAGGCTGGATTTCTCACAAAAATGCTTGACGGGAAGAAACTCCCTAGGAAGGGATTGTTTTATTTTATTTTCAACTTGAGGGCCTCCAGTTTGCTTGGGACGCTGCCACCAGCCACCTAAGGAAAGCCTGAAATCCTTCAAACACAGGGTGGGGTGAAGTCCTCCATGGGTGTACAAAAGGACTTCAGAAGCACGACTGCCTGGGACATAATCTTCTTGCCACACTATATTTTGTGGTGGAACATGAACTCAGTGGTTTGGTGCTTTTAATGACAAAATTCTACTGAGGTTTCTCTTTTTTTTTGTCCCCCTCAGAGGCTTTCACTCCAGGTTAAGATGAGGTTTTCCCTTAAAAATCACTTTCTGTGGGTCCTACGTGCCTGCTATGAATTCTTTTGTCCAAACACTTTTTTTTTAAGTTTTTTTTTTTTTTTTTTTTTTTTTTTTTTTTTTTAAGTAAATATAAAGTAAAGTAAATATAAAATGGAACCCTGGTTTCCCTCACTGGGGACGGGAGCCCTCCTTGTCTCATTCTCTCTCACACTCCATCTTGTTCCCTGAACCTTGCATTTTACGCAACACATCTTCAAGAGGACAGAAGCTGCTTTTCTTCCTTCACTTTATCTCCCCTGATTTGTGCTTTTAAATCCCTTCCCATGAACATATCCTCCCCAGTTGGGATGTTGGAGTCCTCTGGGGCTAGGGAAGCAGTGAAGCCCACCAGTCCCTCTGAACTCACCATGACACTGGGACACGGGGTCAAACAGGGGCTCATACACATCCAGCTGAGTTTTTAAGGTGTTGAAGGCTCATGGCTGCAGCTGTCTCTCTGGGGAGCTCAGCAGCCCTGGTGTGTGACCAGTATGCAGGTTTTGGTGCTCACGGCCTGTTGCAGACACCTTCAGTGCCACAGTCATCAGCAGCAGCTCTGCAGAGACATGGAGGTGATTTCATTGAAATTCTGCGTTCAAAGTGATTTGGTCATTCTTTTGTGGATACCTGCTTGGGCTTAGCACACAATCTCTGTCTAAATTCCCTTTTGGGAAGCCAAGTGTTATTTTGGAATATTGCTATTAGGCTTAAGCATATAATGGAAGTAGCAATATTTTCCAGCCTTGCCAGGTTATTGTGGTGATGCACAAATTTAAAACACTTAGTTCAAGATGAGATGAAATGAATCTTCTGCATATTTATGATAAATAACCAGGAGCCCAGTTATTTTTCCTGTTTACTAGAAAACACTTCTGATCCAAACACTGCAACCTGAGTGGCAGCTGTAGGAGTTTGCTATGTGAAGTGCACTAAAGCAGAACAGGTACATTGCTGAGGCTGCTAAAACTCTGGTTTAAGTGCCAGTTTCTTTAAAAAAATCTTCTTTAAAGAACAAATATATGGCAATGTAAGAAATTCTATCCTGTAATGAAAATTTCCCCTCTCCATGGAAGGAATAGAGTTGATTTATTACCCCATCGACATACAATAAACACAGACTCGTCTACCATTTGCAACTCCCACAAGAAGGCCGCAGCATGAATTTCCCTTAAAGTTGACTAGCACTATGAAATGAAAACACAGAACTGTGCAGAAAATTTTTTTATTATTATATTTATTTATTTATATTTTATCTGAGTAAGCAGATGCACCACACTGATCCAACTTCACTGTAGGGCTGGGAATTTGACCTCTCCAGGTCACAATGTACAAACTGTGCCCATGTCCTGTTTAATTGATGTTCTACTTACCACTCTATTGAACACCAGATCTGGAAAGTCCTTAGCTGGTGTGGAGGAACAAATGCAGTTTGCCCTATTTACCCCTTACTGCTCACAGAAAAAGGCAGAGTTTGGCTCTCTATTGGGATTTTAATGATTACTCTTCAAAACAGGTGCAGAGCATTTATGGTTTTCTTTCTGCCTGTCACACATTAAGTGACATTAGGACTGAACTATGAATGGAGTGAGGAAGTGGTGAACTATTCTCATGCAGCCCTAGAGCTGGGCACTATCTTGTTTCTCATTTGGCATGCATGATGCTGACAAGTTTTTAAATAACATGTTGAAGCTTCTCAGTGAAAGATTTGTTTTATTCTGTGTCAAATACATCCTCCTTTTCAATCATAAATTAGTGTTCTTTTTTGTTGTTGTTGTTGGTTTTTCTCTCCCCACTGTGCCTGAAAGAGACTAGCTTTATGTTCTTTGACTACAGAGAAAATATATATAAATAAAATAATATATAATAACATATATATGTATGAGCTAGTAAGCCAAACTATTTCTAGCTATTGCAATTTGTTTTAAACAACAGAAATTGGTAACCAGCATATGTAAGGTAATGTACTGACCAGTGATAATTCACATACAGAATCAGACTGCTCATGGACAGCTTGTGAATAGAGGGAAAAGCTAAATTTGTTTAATGTGTTATTGGCATTTAGATATTATCTCTATTTACAGGTAGACAAGCTGAAACTCATAAAGACTGAATTGCTTGCCAAGAAAAGACAGAAAAAGGCAATGGCAGGTCTGGGAAAAGACCTTGTATCTGCTGTGACTTCATCTTTACCAAACAGTACCTCCCTTTAAATAATTATTCAGTGTTCAATGTTTAGAAGCAGCTGAGCAACAAGCACATTACTTTAAAAGGTACCTCAGTGGCACATTTTTGGCCATGCAGGATGTGAGTTAATATTCCTCTGTTTTGGTGCTGAGAGCACCTGTGTATGGGTAAAGAGCAGCTGTGCCTGATCTCCATGAATGATTGAAGGTGAACATTTGATTATTTTTGCTACAGATCTCATTGGCAATCATGCAAGATGTGAATTGCCTACTTGTTTTTGTTGCAGTAAATGTAGTGTTTTCAGCAGGATAAATTATTTTATTCACATACTTGTCTCTCTGAAAACCTCTTCTTCTGCCTAGCCCTGTTGTGCTAAACCATCACATCGCTCTTCAACATTGTCCTCCATGGGGAAGGTTGCAGAATAATTTTTCACCCATAAAGGGGGGGGGGGGGGGGAAGCCTTTATTGTTTCCATCTATATAGATTTTCATACCGCTAAAAAACCACCACCACCAAAAACTCTAAAAAAAAAAAAAAAAAAAAAGACTCTACTTTCTGCCTCTTGGTGCTTGGGTTAAGATTTGTACTTTTGGACCTTCTCAGGCCATCTCCTGCAAGTCCTGGTTTCAGCTGTGTGTATCTGTCTGAGCCTGGGCATGTCAGATGCCTTCAGTGGGGACAATACCTGTAGCCATCCAGTGTGTAACTGCAGAAGCACTTCCCCAGCAGGAGTTAAAGGCCATCTTCAAATCACTGGGTGCTTTAAATTCATCAAAGAGAAGAGAGGAAGGCTTAGCATGGCTTCAGGAAGCCTGAATGATGTTAGTTTTACTGGGACATGGGCTCTGATGACAGTTCTGTGGCAGCACTGGTGGCCAGATGCTTGTGAGGCCTCCCCATGGATCAAGGTGCCTTGTGCTTACTGTCATCCCTGAAGCAG